TGGTATTGACGATTGGCAGAGAGTAGCCAACGAGGGAGGGTATTATTCGAGTGAGGCTATGGATCACAATTGATCTGTAAAGCCAGCGATGTATGCATGCATATATAAACTCATTTGAAAACTATAAAAAGAATGCACAGCCATTAACCTTGTGAAAAATTTATTAATACTCCTGACCTGACGCATTCAATCTAATCATTATTTTCCACTATCCTACATCCTGCAAGCAACCAATAATTTTCTCATAATTCACCAACAAGAACCGGCAATAATTCTCATAAGGGACGTGATAATTGTTTCAACAACCGCTGTCGTTCCTGCAATTTTTTTCTCTCTCCCCGTTCACTTGGCATTAAAAGGTAGGACATCATAAAACAATGAAAATGGTAAACGTTATAAAAACATAAATCTATAAAAAAAAATATTATAGCACATCCCATTCCAATGTCTAAAATATATACTAAAAATGTCATAAACACCTGCCCATCCATATTTCACGTCATACAAAATTTCAAACATATTCACTTGACAAATTGCAAATTTATAATTTAACATGTTAAATAGCTGATTGTGCAACATTTATGAGTCAGTCGTGTGTGCATATATACATTTCGTATATATTGTTTTGTTATAACGAGTGAGAATGAGTGCTGTTGACATTATCGAGAACGTGTGTGACGTCTGACTGATGAATTTAATCCTCACAGGTATACGCAACATTTACTCCTATACACACATATTCAACGAGGTACGGGAAAATAAAAATCGGCAAATTATTATCGTCAGCCTAAACGGTGAATGCGAAAATTGGAATTGTCAATAGGCAGTAAAAAAAACGGAGAGAGGAATATGAAGCACATCACATGAATAATTTTCGAATGTATCGCTTGAAAAACAGCAAAATTGAATTTTCCATTCGAATGAACTTGCGAGAATGCTTTTGCTGTCCTAATAAATTTGTTATGATGTTTTTAGTGTAGCTAAAGTCTTTTTCGGGGGGTTTGGATGGACTCAGTTTGGGTTTGGATGAAACTGTTTAGAAGAAGATGGATGCAGGTGATCAAAGTTATTAAAAATTGAATTTTTTGGACCTCCTCATCCTTCTTGCTATCGCCCAAATAGCAAAAGTCGATTAATCGAATAGAAATCCGGCACTAAGCAGGCGTGACTCTGGGATGATGCTGGATTTAAATCGAAGTCAGCATCATGCAAGAGTTGTGCCGTTTATTTAATTGATTGACTGACTTGTGCTATTCGGGTTGTTTTTTGGGAAAAAATACAGCTTAAGCTTCCTTTATTCAAAAGCTCAAATGCTGTTCTTCATCAGGAACGAAGCTTGAAGTTTTTTATGGAGGTTCTATTTTTTATAAGACCAGAGGAGGGAGGGCACGGTGGATTCATCCAAAATAAAAATTTAAAATGCGCTTCTAATCATCAAATTGTACAAAAACCTGACATCCTTCCTCATTTCTCTCACTCATCTAATTCAGCACAAAAAGGAGTAGGAAGAAATAAATATCTGTTATCAGTACCAGAAAAAAAGAAGATAGTAAGCATTTTATTTGACTTTATTCAAACATATCGCACATGACAAAGGCAATTTTTCATGTTTCCATGAGACTTGAATGTTTTGGGGACACAACAGAATCACAAAGCGAGTAAAAAGGATCGTTTCATAATTTATAATGATTTTTCACTTTTTACAGACCCTTTTTTTATGTAGAAAAAAAAATTGTGCTTATCTTTTTGACCATTTTTACAATTCATTTGACATATTCACATAGATTTTTTTATATGTCTGAATGTCGTTGCCCTCATTTTAGTTCTTTCTTGTTTTCTTAACTCAATTTTGTCGATGAAAAATGTTGAACAAGGGGGTAACAGCTTTGTGGAAAAAGTGAATCGTGGTAAAAATAAGATACATTTGTAACTTACTTCCAAGGCTTGTAGCAAGAGTTTTCATCGTTCAGAGGAAGGAGGGATAACGAAGGGGACAACAGCATGATGAGAAAACTTTCAATCAAATATTCATGTTGTTTTCCCCTCCAAAAATTCGCTACACTGTTCCTCCTTTATTGTTCACTACCTTGCTGTACCAATGATACTTCCTTCATTCCCACAAAGCAGTTACCCCCCTGAATGTTAACATTCGCACAATAATAATTGTCGTAAAAGTAGAATGAGTGAGTGATTGACATTTTAATGCACAGACACAAACGCACACACGCCTACGCAATGGACATTTGTCTATATGTGACATTCATATAAATGTCCTAAATAGATAGACAGATTTCTCTCTATGATCTGTCCAATAAATTATTTGAAGCATAAAATAAATAACTTAAAAATACTGTATGGATGGACAATCGGATATTGTGATAAATTTCCAAACCATTAAACTTTCTCCTCGTTTCCGTTCCTTTCTCGTCCTAATCTCGAACACACAAATTTCATTTTATTTTCACATTTTCGGGTAGGTGAGTTAAAGAGAATCTGCTTGAGCAATAAATATTTTTACTGCAAGACCTGAGTTAAGGTGTGGAATTTTGAAGGTAAATAAATTTAATTCTTTTTGTGGATTTGTGAGGTGATGTGCTTTAAATTGATGGAGAATTGGGAATTATTGCATTGTTTTTATAGGATGGCCATTACTTGGGATACTTGATTGGGTTCTGTAGCTATATAAAGCGTTGTTATTCGATGTTTTGCCGTGGTGATCATAACTGTCTTTAAGATTCGCAACAATGACATTTGGCATACGAGACTAAATCAAGTATGAAGTTTTGTGGCTTAGTTTGAGTCCTGGGTGTTCGGGTGACACCACTTTACTCCATGACCGTCTGATTTGACGATATTACAATGATATGAACTATAAACTAAGACATTGCATATCAGTTCTTGTCTATTGGCAACTTTTGTACCCTTAAACATCTGACCTCCTTATTAGAGACGAACTAGACTATTTGGGAGAAGTTCCCCCAAAATACCTGTCACTAGAGCAATGTTTGTAACCTGTATTCAACAACAACATATATCTAATAAATCCATGTTGAACCTCACCAGCCATACATATCCTCATGTTCATGTACATCAGAAACAAGAAGATTTAAGACTAAACTGTGTGAATGACAAATATTAATGAAAACTAGTAGAATAAAAATGTCAACTCAAATGCTCTGCAATTTTTCAAACCCATTGCATGAGTCTCATTCAGACAATTGACATAACCAGTTGGACTAGCACTGATAACAGTGATTACATTAAATTGTCATCGCTTATCAGTAAATGATTCAGGTTTTGTGGACATCAATTCCGGTTAATTGAAGAAACAACTTTATTATTATTGTTATTAGAATGAATGCAAGCTACTTATTGCTGGACATATACAACAATACATTTTCATCCAACGTCGTCATTGCTGTTGCTGTTCTTAAGTCCAATGCTACGTCTTTTTCTTGCCTCTCACTTTATTTCATCTCATTTCAAGTGAAAAAGAAAAATAGGAAAATTTATGACATGATTTTCATTTTATTCCTTCTTCTACAGCAACTGCCAACAATGTACTTAACTACTTTTATGGCACGGCATTATTCCATGGAATTACCGTCATCAACACTATAGAGAGGAGAGAAAAGAAGAATAGAAACGAGAATAAGGAAGGGAAAATTGTCTAAGATTTTTTTTCTCGAGAGGTGAACAATTTTTTTTGCACAAGATGAAAAGACAAGTAATGAAGGCATGTATGGTGGGAGTATGAAGCGCATTTGTGTTAAATAACTTGATTTAAGTGACCAGAAGCATTTTAAATAGGTTTCAGATTTTATGGCTAGCCAGAACAACCTGGTGCTTTAGAAATAGACTTCATACTCGGTTCACAACATTTTTAAGGAGTCCTAAGATCCAAGACTATAGGTGACCATAGGGGCCGTTCACTTATGACGTCAAGGGGGGGGGGGGGGGGATGGTCAGCAACAAAAGAACAATAGAAATTTCTTGAAACCCATTGTTCTTTTTGAAAAATGACCGTTAATATCGGACGTCATAAATGAACGACTCCATAGGAACTTGCCAAAAAATTGATTTTCATATCATAAGATCCCAAACTGACCCTTAAACTTCAACATCTTTCACCAAACTAAATATATAATGCACAATTTTGAAAGAATAAGTAAGAGGGGATGAATGTAATGCCGTCCATGAGTAGATGCTCATGTTATAATAATATATTACATATAACATGTGATAATGTATGGTCTGCATTTTTCCATTTTCCTTAACATCAACACGCCTCGTTGCTGCCTCCATCCATTCCTCAAAATAAAAATGAGTAAAAAAAATTTTCTTCAACCAAACCCAAAACATTTTCCATCCATAAATTTCAAATTATTGTTTTTGTACTGAAAATAGAGCTGAAAAGCTTTACATGTGCAGCAGTTTGTAATCAAATCACGCAAAACATTATCCTGATTGTTCCTTCATTATTGCTTATTGTGCAGTCATTCATATTTCTTACAATAAACTATTTCCATTTCTTGAATTATCTTTTATGCTTTTCTATTCTTAATGGGCTCACAATTTTGATGTATGAAGTATATTTTGCAACATAGATAGGCGTAGACGTGCATGTTGAGGGGATTTTGAGGGAATTATATGTGATTTTATGATTTCTTATTTCTTCATTTTTATGCTGAAAGTTTTATTAGGGCTTTTACACTTAGCGATAAAATAATTCATTTGGAAATGGAAAATGTGGAAATTAGGAAGCGATGGTGATGCATTTAATGGAAGAATTTAAGGATTTATTTAGTATATTTTTTACTTAATGATAAACACAAATTGTCTACCGGATCGGCACACATTGAAATTCATTGAAATGTTTGCCAGCCAGGAGCCGGGTTGATAGTATAATTAGAACTAAGCGCTTGGATCAAATTATACTATCAACCCAGCTGCCGGCTTGAAAACATTTCAATATGTGCCGATCGGGCTAGTTTTTTATCTCAATTGTTCTTCATTTCACTCCAAAATTTCTGTTCAATTCTTTTAATTGCTTCCTCTTTTTCTTTGAACAAGTCAATTGTTTTCTTGACTTTTTCAGTATTGAATGCCCAATCATCATTTAAAATAAGTTTGGGAAATGTTTTCTTAATTTCAGCAAATGATTTTGTCCGCAATTCATCATTTTCATATTTGTTGCTTAAACTCAAAATCTCCAAAGCATTGTCGGCAGTAATTTGGTTTAAAATGTTTGATGCAACAATTGTTTTTAATTTTTCAATTTTAAGACGTCCTGCAGCGGCAAAGAGTTGCAAGAAATTTGTTTCAATTTCCAGTGTAATTTCTTCAAAATATAAAAATTTTAATACTTTTTCGAATATTTCTATGGGAATGTCAATCAGGTTTAAACTCTCGACTTGAGGATTATTTCGTAATATTTCAGCTAAAGTTGAACTTCGAGCGATCAACAGAAATTTATGGACACGAAATTCACGATCATCAATAATGACTGTAAAGTCTTTAAAATTGTCATTCATTAGAAGTTGCTTGATTTCTTTACTTATGTCATTTTTTGAGCTCATTTTCAGCATAGAATGTTCAGCTTTTTCAATTTTCAAGTCATTTAAAAGTTTTTTTTCTCGTTCCTCTGACTCTTGAATCTGCTTCTGTAAAAGCTTCTCCTTTTTCTTCAATTTTTGATTTTCCTTATCACTTGCTGTAATGAATGTTTTTAATATGGCAATCTCTTCTTTATGCTTCTGATATGCATTTTTAATATTTTCAGGATCAATGCAAAAATTCTTCCATAGTTCAGCTTTAACTTCAGCTAAAGTTGCATTTCCTAGATCGCCTTGAACACTTGAAAAACGTTTAAAATATTTTAAATTTCCAGTAAAATTAACCATATTTAAATTTTCGAGTCCATCCAAAATATTTGGCTCAACAAATTTCAAACCTTCGTTTCCTGAAAAAATCACTTCCTGGACATTGTCAAATCCTTCAAATAAATCTCCAAACAAAAACTCAATTTCGTTGTTACAAAAACCAAATCGTAGCAAATTTTTATACTCCTTCAAGTCATTCTTGGTTACTTTTTTCAAATTGGAGCTCCAGACACTTAAGTCTTGCATTTTTGGAAATACTTTTGTCAATCCTTGTGGAACTTTTTTAATATCGCAGTTTTCAAAAATTACATCTATAACATTGTTATTGGAATGACCTGAAACATGTCTTCCTGTAAATTCTAGTTCTTCATCTGCTGGAATTTGCTGATTTTTTATGAAACAAGCATACAGTATTCTACCGTCAATATATGGATCGTACTTGAATTCACAAATCAATTGCTTCATTTTGTAAAACTTTTTGAAATTAGTAAAAAATATGCTTTGTTATATAAGATCTATGACTCAGCCTGTGATTTCATTTCAAAATCGGATGAGTAATTGAAGATTTTTACCTTTTAATAGCTTTTCGAATTATTAAAATAATTTGAATTGTTTCGAATTTAAAATTCAATTTGTTTAAATTGCTTTTTTTTCGAACAATAAATTTAAAATAAGAAATTTGATTTTTTTTTTAAATTCTGTTTCTGTAACAATGAAGTTATACAATGAATAATACTTGTATTTTTTATGTTATCAAGGGGCTCAGAGGGGGCATGTAATGTGGAATGAAAATTAAAGTTTTGCTTTTTTAAATTGTGAAGTTGTTAATAACCTGTAGGATATTTTTTTTTATGAAACTTAATTGATACTTTAGCATATTATCAACCAATTTATAATGACTCATATGTCTTGACGGGAAGACCAAAGAACTTATGGATTTGAAATGGGCAGTTGGCAGACGGTAGCCAGCGATAGAGCTAGTTTTGGGGGAAGACTAAGGGAGGGAAGTAAGTAAGTCTAGTTTCAATTTTTAACTAAAATTAAAATGAAGTTCGAAACAATCAAGGTGTGGTAATTATTTTTCAAATGCATATTTATTGGTTCAAGGATTTTTTTAGGAACTTTCAGGACTAATCCTGAGTTTCCACGCCTTGAATACAATTTAAAAAATGATTTTTTATAAAATTTGAAGTGACATTTAATAAAATATTTAAAAAATTGTTTATCCAGATTTTTTCTTAAGTATTTGCCTTCATATCTTTAAACTTTTCTTCCATTTTCTTAAGCGCTTCTTCCTTCTGCTTATACAGTTCAATTACTTGAACTACTCGTTCAGTTTCAAATGCCCAATCATCAAAAAACTCAATTCTTGGCCATTTCTTCTTAATTTCTTCAAATGCTTTCAATCTCAACTGCCTGTGTGCATACTTGTTACCGAAACCAAGTACTTCAACTGCATTGTCACCATTGAGACCTTCCAGAACTTTTTCAACCGCAAAATCTTTCAATTCTTCAATTTTCAAGCGATCTGCTGCAGAAAACAGATGCAAATATTTCCCATCTTCAAGTTGTGGATATTCATCAGTGTACAGGAACTTTAGAATCTTCTCAAAGATATTGACTGAAATTTCAACTAGACTCAAACTTTCAGCATGTGGATTGTTCAGCAAAATATCAGCTAGAGTTGGACTTCGCGCAGTTAGCAAGAATTTATGGACGTTGAACTTTTGGTCGTCAATAACAATTTGGAAGTCCTTAAAGTTGTCGTCTTGGAGGATTTTTTTAATATCGGAATGAACGCCTTTTTGGATGACTGGTGCATTTAATGCTTGAATTTCGTGTTGCAGTTCAGCTTGTGAAATCTTCAATGCTTGATTTTCAACTGTCAAATTGAGAACTGTTCTTTTCAAAGCTCGAATTTCGTCTTCATACTTTTGGTTGGCATTTTGCATCAATTTAAACTTACTGCAAGCATTTTCAGGTGGCTCAGCCTTGACTTTAAGTATAGTTCCATTTCCTTGTGTTAAATTTTGAACAGTAATCTTCAAAGCTTGAACTTCATCCTCAAACCTTTGACCTACATTGACGGGTTTCCCAGAATTATTGCAAAACTGTTCACGTAGCTCAGCCTTAACACTTTGCAATGTTCCATTTCCCAAGTTTTTCGGATCTTCTGAATAAAATTTGGTGTATTTTGGGTTGTTGCTGAAGTCGACTTGCTTCAAATTGTTAAGTCCATCCAGAATATTTGGTGTTATGGCTTGTAGCTTATTTCCAACAAATGAAATCTCATTTAGAAGTTCGAATCCTTCAAATAGATCTCCAGGCAAGAATTCAATACAGTTATTAGCAAATCCCAGAATTTCAAAGTTTTTATACTCAGCTAAGTCATTTTTCTTCAAATCCTTTAAATTTGATCCACAAATGCTTAAACTTATCAAGTTTGGAAAAACCTTTGTGAGTCCTTGTGGAACTTTTGTGATGTTGCAGCTGGAAAAGTTCACTTCCGCTACATCATTGTTAGTGTTTCCATATTTATGTTCTCCGGTAAATTTTAATTCTGTGTTTTCAGGAATGTTCTGTTCATTGATGTAGCATGTGTAAAATACTCGACTAGCTTCACATGGATCGTAACTATATTCACAGAAGACTTCCATTTTTGAGGAATTAGCTGTAGATAACATAAGAAATTTTAAAATATTTTGAAATTAAAATTTATGGTATACTGGTGATTCACTTGCGAAAATAAAAAGCTATACTGTCACAGCTGATATCTTGTTTGTATGTGTTGACTTCAAAATTTATGATATTTATCACCAAGTATGATTGTTTTTATGGATAACTTGATGTAATGTTGCTATATTTACTTACCAATTTGAAATCTTGATCAATACTTTTAGTGAAAATAAAGATTTAATGAAGAATTTGCTGTGCTGTATCTATTGTCAACTATTCTTCTTATTTCTTAAAGTTATATGTTGTGACGAATTTAAATAAATATTTAAATAAGTTCAATATTTTGAATTTTTGTAAACTTCTCGTCAAACTAGCTTTAACTTAATAATCAAATTTAATAAAATCTAAACTCTACAAAATTAACAAATTAATAAAATTACTTCTGTGACGAAAGAAGATGAAAACAATAACAAAGTTATTCGATGTGTGGTTTTCTTCTTATTTTGTATATAACCGAGGGGCTTACAACTTTCTTGTATTGTTATCGCGGTAAACTTTGATAATAAAAAGTTTTTCTCGGTTTTTATTGCTTTTGATTCGTTTTTGTAAATAGCTGCACATAGTTTTAGAAACAAATAAGATTTACCTGATTATTCAATTTGCTGTTGTATTTTTTTTTGATCGAAATAGTTTTTATATAAAGAAGAATTACAGAAAAGTTCAATCATGTTTCTTTCTATGATATGAAAAATGTTAAGGAGATAAAACTGTAAATATGGTAATTAGTTTAAGTTTTTAAGTTTGAGTTTTTAAGCATCTAAGTACAAGATTGTGACCCAATAGCAGCAGTATGACCAATAATTTACCTTTTACCTATTCTGTTGTATCCATTCATTAGCTTGACAGCAAATCTCGAAACCTAAACTTCATAAACAAGCTAGTCATCAGAAAGAATTGATTCAATAAATCTATTATAACAACAGACATTATTTATGAACAAGTCCTAAGAACATTTTACCTTTGCCTAGAATCACTGTCCACCTGCCTCCAAATAGCAACATCCAAATTGTCTGATCCACTTAAATTACAAAAAAAAGGTCGACATGCATCAGCACCCGAAAAACATTTATTTTTGCCACCAAAAAAAAAGACATCCAAAAAAAGTTTAAGCAGACCAAAGCCATTGTTGAAAATAGACAGTTAAAACGATGAAAATTATTCAAGAGAGCATGAAGCACAATATGATAATGAACCATCTAAAGCCATGAAAAAAACAGAAAAATTTACAACCCGACATCAAATATGCAAGCAGGAAAAAAGCTGGAAGAGTTTATATAAACGTCTGTAAGTGTGTATGTGAGTATGTGTAATAGTCATAAAATATGAAGGAGGAAGAAAAATTCAACAGAATCGGTAAAAATGTTTGTTTTTAGACGGGAAAAGTGAGGAAAATTGAGTTTGAGTAAATGTTTGGGAACATTCGAGTATGAAGCATTTTTAATGTGATTTCTGAAGTTTTTTTTTTGATTTTTTTGCAAAATTGAATGACCTGTGCGAGAACTAAAAAGGCACAATAGTTATGTAAATGCAGCTACTTCAAAAATAGCACAAAGAGACACTAGGATTAAATAGGATCTAGTCCATAGATGACCAAACTATTCCCTAAGCGTTGCTCATTATCCAAAAGACATGTTTACAGCACTGTCAAGGTTGACATGCCAAAGAAACTAAAGCACAGCCCAATCCAACCCCATTTCCAACCCCCAAAAAAGACGCGCTCTGGAAGAATATGTAAAAATGTTCATTGTATGCCTTTACTTTCATCATCAACAACCAGCTCACGTTGTAACAACAATGAGATGATGAGACGATGAAAGCGGTTGTGAAAAATATGCAAATCATGATGGAATTAAGAGGGCTTTAGATGGCGAATGACTCGTTGAATATATATACTGAGCTTCCTTTTCTATGTGCCATGAAAAAACACACAAAATTTTCTGTTTGTAAAATAAACATTAAAGACGATGAAAGTAGAAGGAGGGGAGGGGGAGGCAGCTTGTGTGCACAAAATATCGCCACAACATTTTAATTGCGTTAAAGCACTAAATTTATGTATAAATATATGAACATGAGAATGGAAAGTGATGGAGAGGATGGTCGTGTGTAGAAATTTAATCATGAAGGGAAATTTAATGCTTCCATTTTGTTATAGCTTGAAATATGCAATTCTTGAGACATGCTCGCCATAAAATTGATGTGAAATTGTATATCTTGTAGTTCTTTCAATTCCTACACAAAAAAAAAACAGAACATGCATGTTTTATATTTTATGCTGCTTTTCATGATTATGCTGATGCTTCTTCTTGTAGTGGTTGTCTAGATGCAATATATTTTGTGAGATTCGAGATGAATTTATATCTCTTCTTGTTCTTCATGCTCTTGAATCTTTATTGCATTTTCAATATAAAGTCAAGCTGGAATCTTCATCTTCAATGTTATACTGAATTGAAAATGGAACTGCTTATTCGATTTCAAGTTGGAATTTCAAGGCAACTATTGGTTCACATCAGTTAAGCTTGTATTACAAGTCTTGAGTAGGAGTTTTGATATGTTGATATTATTTATAGCTTCTGGAGTTATTTTTATAGCTGCTGTAAGTTGTTTGTTGGAATGATAAAAGTTCAGAGATGTTCTCATGAAGCGGTGAGTTTTGCATCAGTTCGTTGTCAAATTATTGCAATGTTGGAGTGTCGTTGACAGAAACGACAGCTTTTATTGTAATTATTAACATATATATATATATATATGTATATATATATTAAATGTACTATTTAGAATAACTGTTAATTGATTAAACTATCCTAAAACTAATGATTAATTATATTATACAATTTGTTATTTACATATCATTTGTAACGTCTGCACTCGATTCAAATTACTCGTTACAATTACTCATATGCACCTGAAAATTCAGGCGCAATAACGTTGATTCTTTCATTTACTTTTAAGTCGTGAACGAGTGTAGCACGCTACAAATTTCTTAAAAATCCGTAACATGTAAGACAATATAAGTTAAATAAATTAAACTATTACAACAATCAAAATTTACGGATTAAATAAAAATTATTAAACTACACCCAATCACATTGGAGGTTCTTAAGAAAAGTCTCATCACTAGTTGGTATTCAATAGCTTCAATTCCTCAATAACAAGAGTTTGGGACTAGAAACCGTAAGATGCAGGTTTGATTCTTGATTAAGACGAGTTGTTTTCTTTTTTTGCTAAGAATTTAATATCCAGTTCATTAAGTATCAACATCAGTATCAGTATTTAATAGAGCTCGAAGTCGATTTAACAGAGTCGACTTCGAGCTCTGGTATTTAAGGAACTAGTTCTTGTTCAAACTTTCTCACATCTATTAGCCGCCATAAGTGAGCAATCCAAAGATATTCCCTCGAATATTCAATTCCAAGATTCAGAATTATCCGAATTATCTTTATTAATTTTAACAACATTCTGTTGCCTCATTTCTTTGTGGTTTTTGTGGCTGTATCCTTTTCAATCTTCATCTTTTCCATTCTCAGTCTGCGAAATTTTACATCTTAATATCTACAAAAATTAAATGCTCAAAAAATATTTCAAACTTAAATCTTTAAAGCTTCTTGCGATTCCATCTGCCGTTACTTTAATTGACATGAATAAAAAAGAAAAATCTGCAATTTTCCAATGACTGGCATTGACTTGATTGATACTTGTCTTATTTAAATAAAATGAAGGAAAAATAAGAAGGAAAATCCTTCCTCAAGCGATACTTAATTTTCCAATTTCCGCAATCTAAATAGATATGTATATAAAAATAAAAATTTATCTTCATTTGAAGCCAATCGATGAGCGTTTATGTATCGATAAAAAAAATAAGTTGGAAGAAAAGGAAGAGAAAATTGAGATTGGAAGCAATTTCCGTTCGATTTCCTCCCTCCTTTCCTAATAAACAACTAAACATAAGCTTTTGCTCAATCATAATTTTTTTTTTATTTCATGATTCTATACAATTTATGAACATTTATGAACGATTTTCATTTTACTAGCTTGTTTGGGATGCCGGAAAAATTGTAGAAATTCTTCTTCTTCTTCCTTTTTTATTCCTCAATATTTTTTTTTATTATTTTATTGCGAAAAATTTGCTTGTTTTTATCTGTATTGCGGTTTTCTGTTTTTGATGTGTTGCAGGGATAGACACTATTGATGTTATGATGGAATTTGAGAGTTTTGGGGATTGCATAGATTTAAGGGATGTGAGATAAATGAGATCAGTTGGTATGTCAATAGCTTTGAGCAGTGCTCGAAGTCGACTCGAGATTTTTATCGGTTTTGTATGGCGAAGTCGACTCAAAGTCGACTCAACTTCATACAAAATTTCATCGACTTCTAGCTCTGGCTTTGAGGAACTCAAGATTTGTATGTTCAAGTTTCTGTCTAGATTTATAATGAATATAAAAGCCAATGTCACTTACGACGTCAAAACCAAATGTTCAACCAGACATATTTCTAATACAGCTAAGGAATCAGCAGAAGTAGTCATTAACAGGCTCTAAGTCAATCTTTCTCTAACGTTTCACTTGTCTCTTGCAATATTTGTGAATAAGGAAGTTAAGTTTGAGAACAAATGCTTTAAATCATTGAAATAACAGTCACAGGTTCTCTCTGTAAGATTCTGGCTGAAATTAAACTTATTCACAATCCACAGCATAGCACAAACAAGACAAAAGCTGGCAAAATGTAAGGCAAGAGAGTTTAAGGACCCAAATTCCTATTATTGAAGCTTCATTTAAGGTTTCATTTTAATTTCTATTCTTAAAGTATCGAAATTAAGAACCAGCGGCTTAAGAGCATTTCAAATCCTGTTCCAATGCCTTTCATTCAAGCTCATGCTGCTGACTTAAAAATAGGTCAAAAAAAATTCAAAAATCCAATTTTAATTAACTTTTCACTTACCTTTGCTTAATTTTTAATTCCGTTAAAATTATTCCGTTTGTTCCACGTCCAATATTCATGAATATTTAATCTCAACCCACCAAAAATTTTCCTTTCTCAAAAAACAGCAACAAACCCCATATTCAAAATCATCGACATCTCACCATCCTTATTAATAATTCAGCATCTAGTATCCACACGTTGATGGCGCTTCTGTTTTTATGTACATTTTTTTTGTTGTTTTCCAAATACCGCATTTAGAGGGGTTGTGTAGATGTGTTAATGTATTTCAGCCAAAAGAACATTGAATAGGAGACCAAAATTGTACTGGAGAATACAATAAGATAAAGATGGGTATGGGGAAGTAAGGACGAGATGAAAATCGTTTATCATAATCATTCAGCAATAAAATCAAACTTGGATTGTTATATTATTACGCTTTTATGGTCCATTCGCCTTATTTCTCATCTACTTTTTTTTTGTTCATCCTCCTCCTGCTGCTGCTGCTGTTGTCTGTCGTCATTGTTCGATAAAAATTGTGAAGAAGAATTCTTTATGCTTTCATTCATTCAATTTTCATATTCATTAGGATATAAAATGAGAAAGTTTTATTGCTTTAGTGTCTGAGAATTTCGATAAGAATTTATTTATTTTTTATCTTCACAAGAAAATTGAATTAAAAGAAAAAGAGGATAGAAAAAAATTAAATTGGAAAGTTTCTTTACTTGATAAATTGATTGTTGTGAATTTATTAGGTTGTGGTAGTGTAAATTAAAGCTGGAAGCTAAAATACGGATTCTTGTTGTGTTTGGAGCCCATAATAACAACTAAAGTTTATATTTCTTAGGATTCGAACCTACATTTGTGTTCCATTTGAACAATTCATGATTTTGTTGCTTAATAAACTATAAAATATTTATGACTTATTGGCAATCTTTAAAATAATGAATTGAGGATTAAGTTGTGGTGGTCAGGAAAGATTGTATGTGCATTCAAAATATATTAATCCTCCCCCCTCCCTTCATTCAAAAAATCTCGATTCATCCCTAAAAACCCCCAAAAAAAAAATCAACATCATTTTTCGATAATCATTTTTTTTTTTATTATAAAGAGAAAAAAAAGTTATCAGTTTTACAAGTATTATTTGAGAAGCTTTATGTGAGCTGCAGCTATAAAAAATATATTTTCATTTTCCTATACATTATGACTTTATGTGCCACATTCAACATTCTCATACATTTATGTACATTATTATTTTTTATTATTATTATTATAAAAAAAATGTTTGAAAATTTTGAATTTTAATTTAAAGTTATCAGCATTCTATCAGGACAGCAAAAAAAATTAATGAATTTTTCATCTAAAAAAAATTTCTATGTGTATATGAAATAAATTAATTATGATAAATCATTTAAAAACTATAAAATTTCCATTTTCATGATGTTCATTAAACGATGAAAATTAAATTAATAATTCAAAAGTTTTTTATTCGCTCTCAAGGGGTGGATAAACTTTGTATTTTGGTGTTTTCATGTGTGAAGAAATTTTTTTATGTGACTATTTTAAAATGGTTGCAAAATTTTAATTGAATTTTGATTTTTTTAATTTTGAATTTCTTTGTTTCTCTCAGATAGTGCGCATTATGATTCATCCGAAGATTTTGAATTTTTGGCAAAAAACACTCAAATTCTTATTTATAATGCATTCTAAGTTTGAATATCATATTTATTGACATATGTATTTAAGCTTAACATAATGCGCAGCTCAGTTTAAAATAATATGCATCAAACTTGAACAATTATTGATATATTTCAAATAGTGCGCATAAAGTTCCTGTTTATAATGCGCGATGTACAAACAATGTACTCCTAATTTCACACATAGTACGCACTTGTCATTATTCTCTACTGTGTGACTATAATGCGCAACTTAATTTACACATAGTGCGTATCTTGATTTCTTACATAATGCGCACATAAAAGCGAAACTGTTTTAAAATTAATCAATGCACGAATCGACAAAATCAATGCAATAATCCACAATTTTAAATATGAAAAATTACCAAAAAATTAAAATCAACAAAAATTCTCACCCCCAGCACCATCCATTTATCCCTCTGCTTTCGCATTTCAATTTCTCAATTTATCCTCACAACTATATGTTTTCAGTGCATTTTTCCAAAAGGCAAAATATGAAATAAAATAAAAAAATCTCTCTTTTTTAACGCGGAAAACTTTTTCATTTGTATGTCATTTTACCATATAAATTTCCTCTGTATCCAATTGTGAATGAATTAAATATTTTATTATATCTACATGAATTCATGAATTGTCACAGAACAAAAAAAAAATAATAATTAAACAATAATTATGAAACCAGGCATATAAAATTTTATATTTTTTAATTTTCATGAAAACTGTAATTTATTATAGCTATTGTACAGCATCAACACAGCAAAAAATGTATCGATAGCACTTTCCCTCTTTTGAAATGTAAAGTTTTTCACAGTTTCATTTAAAAAATATGGATAATAAAAAACTTTTAATGCTGCCATTCAATTCAATTCCTGCATGAGACTGATATTGAGCTTGGGAGACTTTTGTGGGGAATATTGGATTATTAATTTCATTTTTCTGTAGCTCAATAATTAAGTTTTGTAATATTTTTGGATGGCTTTTGCGCATTTTTTGACTTTTTAGAATTTTTGAACATTTGAATTATTAGTTTCGAGCTGTTTTAAGGTGTGATCTAGGGGATCATTCACTTATGACGTCCAAAATGATTGGTTATATTTAAAAAAAAAGACAAAGGATTTCCAAGAATTTTTTGTTCTTTTCTTGCTGACCCCTTCCCCCCTGGACGTCATAAGTGAACGGCCCATAATTAAGTTTGGTGATTTCCAGCTTTCTAATCTTCAAAAAGATCAAAATGACTCTCTGGGGTCAGTTTATGGCATTTACAACAGTCTATATCCTAGCTGAAGATTACAGCTAAGATAAAGTCCGAGTACTCGTCTAAAGAAGCTAATTAGCTGCTCAGAAGCCTTAGAACTAGCCAAAATCTTCAGCTTCAATCCTAAAGATCTTAGCTCACACAAAACTGTAACTTTGCTCCTCTATGCTTCCACTGTACCTCTCTAAACTGCAATTTCTATCCAAACTTGCCAATCAATCACTTTATGATCCTATTAAACTCATAAAACATAAGATTTCCTCCAAAAACAGACATCTAGCCATTTCAGTTTAAAATAACCAACTCTCATGCCCAGCAAATTAATCCAGCTAACAGTATTTTATTACTATTGTAGCGGAAAAAAAATTGTAACGAAAAAAATAATAAAAACAACAAAAAATTGCAGCAACTGCCAACTGAGTCTCTTGTTCTCCTTCCACTATATCTTTACATTCCTTGTGTACATTTCCATTTAACGAAATAAATTCAATAGAATCCTGTTCGGTGAAATTCAATTTGAGTATCGAGAAAAAACAATAGCAAAAACATGAAAAGACAGTGGAAAAGAGGAATGAGTTGGATGTGGTTTAGAGTTTAGGATTAGAGCGCATTTTTAGGAATTTTCTTTGATGTTTGGGTTGATGGAAGGTTGATATTAATATTGTCATCTAATGACAATCCAGTTTGTCTGTAATTTGATCTAGTTAAGTCTTAAAGCACCTACTTAATTAAGTGAATCTAGTTCCATTAAAGGCACTAACCACTAATTAGTCATTCTGTCAATCCAAAACTATTCTTTTAAATCAGTGAACTTATAAAATGACATTTTATGTTCATGCTAAGGGGGAATTGTTTCAATTTACGAGTTTTTATATCCACACAAATATGTCGACATTTGTCAAAAATTATTATTTTTTATTTTTTATTAACAATTTTTTCCAATTTTTCATTCTTCAATATAGCAAGTTTTTATGATAGAATTGAGAAAATATTTTTGAAATTTCAGATTGGGAAACTTTGTCTAATTTAAGTGCTTTAATCTTGTTTGGTTCTTATTTATTAATGGGGATCATTTGCTTATTGTGTCTTGCTGCAGAAAATTGAAGATTTTTCGTTCGGATAGAGATATCTGGATTTTTAAAGAACTGTTTCTGATAATATTGAAAGTTTTGCAAAGCCTTATTCAAATTTTAAATGTGATAAATTATTAAATTATTCAAAACCCAAGAGCTCGAATCCTTTAAATACAAGTTCAAAAAGCTTGATACCTGCCCAATATTTATTCATTTTTTCAAAAATTCGCTTTAAATTTCATTATTTTAAACTCTTTTTTTGCAAATTCCGTACCAGCTTTTCCCCATCCACACGCAAGAATCGAACAGCAAAGCCATTTAAAAAAAATAAACAAATTTTTTTATTTATCGATTGAACACGTAACATTTTTGACTAAATATTTATTATTATTATTCTTTTTTAAACTTTTCTGTGTCATGACTTATTTCAACTTTATATATTTTCAACATCCAGAAATTAATCATCGTTCATTAAAATTCATTGAATTATTTATTTTTCTCCTTCACGACTTCAATCTATCTTTCTTAAGTTATTTGCTTTAATTACGCACATTTCGTAATTATTGAAACAGCATATCTTCTATGTTGAGTAAACGCAATGGCATAAAGGAACGCGTTCATTAATCTTTACTTTTACTTTTTTTTCTTCTTTTTTTTTTGTTTTAAGAAACCGAAAAAAAAATTTTATTAAATCAAAAAAAAACTTCATTTTGTGTGTGTATGAGTAATAAAAATGCCTACACATCAGGCAATAAGTCGGCCAATAGCTCCTTCTCGGTAGGTGTCAATGTGCTCGGAAATTTGATATCAAATGCCACCAAGAGATCACCTTTACGTGTTGGATCGCGTGGAAGCGGCAGTCCATAACCTTGAATTCTTTTTACTGTGTTTGGTTTGATTATCTCATGCTTTGTACTGATTCGTAACTTTTCGCCTGTCATTGTTGGCACCTCGAATATCACTCCGCACAATGACTGAAAATATACAGAAAAAAAAATAAAAAATTAAATATTGTAAATTTTTTTCATGCTTTTTTGAATATAATGGATTGATATTTTGTACATTTAGGGATCAAAAAGTGTGTTGTTATTTTTGGAAGTACACATCATTTCATTTTATGGATATATCGTTCTTTCAGTTCATTCATACATTCTGACATGGCATAACATGTGTTTTTTTGCTGTTTGTGCTTGAGTGCTGAGTAAGGAATTAATGTTTTTGCGATGGCTTATGTTGCATTTTAAGGAAGTGAATCATAAATTGATAATATAAAGTCATTTCATCCAGTTGAGGATTGTATTAGTAATGTAACCAAGAGTAAAATCAGAAAAATTCTGAGGTTCAAATCCTATAAAATTTTAAAAGTGTTTTGGGAGTTTCTATTCATAAAGATTTTTTTTTCAAAAATTTCCTCATCCCAAGCTCAATGATCACTCATTAAAGTCTCGCCCCAAACAACAAAAAAAGTATGAGGAAATGAGTGAGCATTATTCAAATTCAATTCTGAAACTCGCTTTAGGGGCGATTCATCATTTTACCTATAATATATTATTTCAAACAATCACGACTCTCTCTTCATTCCGCATTTAATATATTTTAAAGCAGCTTTAATTGACGTCATTAATTTTATTTCAGCACACACAAGCTGATTCAACATAAAAATCACATCATGCTGCTATTGCTACTGCTGCTGCACCATACATGATGATTAATTTTTTTCTATTAATTCATTAATTGTATTTTTTTTTCTGCTTACATTTCGTGTTTCAGTTCCTCTTCCTCATTTTCATTTTCAGCCCCCCTCATAATCCCCTATCCATTCTTTGATATAAATAATTTATCATATTATGCTGTGTGGAAATTGTATGAGTATGAGATGAGGATGTGGATGTGGTGTGGATTTTATCAGAATATTTGGTATAGTTTGGTTAAGCTAGAGGTTCTCAATTGGCAAAAAGGAAGTGTAGAGTTGGATTAGAGTCAATGTATGTATGTATAAGCGAATCTCCTAGCTTGAGAATAAGGATCTTTAGCTGAATGGTTAAGCATCAGATCTTTAATCTTTAGTCCTTGTTTTTGAGGAGATACGAGTTCATTTCCCATGAAAAATAGACCAGTTTTGACTGTGACTAATGTGAGTACATTAGAACCTAGAACACAGTCCATAATCAACTGTTCTGTGTCTCCTAACCTCCAAAAACTTAAATACACAGAAATCAGTTAAAAGTTCCAGAATATCCATCAACCTTTCTATCATTCCACATCCAACATCAAACCCCTATTCCTACCAACTAGAACTATACTTTTTCTATCTCAAATTTTCATTCAGCAGTCATGTCTATGGTGCATTTTCTCAATACATTGAATGCAACGTAGAATGAACATTATTATTATGTATGAGTAAATATATCCGATTATTAAATTGTTCACTTTAATCGCCTTACATTTTTTACTCTCTTTCACTGCCAACTGCTAACTGAATTGAGTTGAGTTGAATGAAGGAGATTGTAAATGAAATAATTAGTAATGAGAACCTTTTAAGTGTGGATGGAGGAAGCGCAATGTTTGAAGATTTTGAATTGAAGGAAGTTTTTGATGGGATGCTGCATAGTCATAAGGAGAATTATAGCTGTGAAGGGTTCAAGGTTTTTACTTTGTCTTAGAAACTGCTGTTGCTCTCGAGTAAAGAGGAGATTTTATTTCTTTTCAATGCATGGATGGCATCAGAAGTAACTCAGTTCACTAATGTTCCTTCAAAGCCCACTACCCTCCCTCCCTGAACATCATAAGTGAACGAATCTCAACTGATTTAGATCAAAAACCAATTCAGATTATTAAAAGGTTCGATTCCTTTACTTCAGCATCAGCCAGTCCCCAGCCTTCCACAAAAACACCAACCAAACTCATTCAACACATTCCAAACAATTTTTCAAAGCCACTCACGGCAACAAAAGAAATGTTTTAAGAGGAAATTTCCCACGTCACATTATGTCATGCTGTGTGTTCATAAGTAGCAGTAAAGTTGACAATTAAGAGCTACTTGAAAAGGATTATTACCCGCAACATTTTTTTTCATATTTTATATTCTTTGATGGAAACGTTTCAAGCTCATTACTGAGCTGCTTGAATTAAGCCTTCATCCATGTACTTCATAAATCACACTGAGCCAGCAAAAACCACTGAATATGCGGTTTTTGGTACTTTTGAGTATCAATTTATCAGGAGCTTGTCGGTGACCCGATTTATTGCCTTATAAATTTTTTCCCCGTGCAGCAAAAGTCAGATCCTTTTATGGTCAACAGAAAATTGTGTTGCTGCATTTTTGGTCTCACAAATACATAAAGACATTGTGGTTCTTTTACGCATGTGATTTATTGCATCCTGTCATTATTAATATGTAAAAAAAAAATAAAACAATGAAATTGTTATGCGGCAAAAGATATTAATTTAATTTTTTTATATGCAGCTTGTTTGTTTACGATATTTTAAAGGCTACTTGTGGATGAATGCATTGAGGCTGTGCATTTTAAGAGCATTATTTGGTGATGGATATGGGAATTGGGTATTGCTTAGGTATTTTGACTTAAAAGACGCTCAGGAGCTGGATAAATATTACCAAGGATTATTCTTTAAGACAGTGGTGGTCAACCTATGAGTCACGGTCCTCTAGTGTTGAAAGGTTGACCATTACTAGCTTAAAAGATAAATTTCGTTTTGACACTAATGTGCCGTAGCACAAAGGTTGGTTCCAAATGCCCCGAAGCTTCAAAATTCTAATTTTAAATGCATTCATTATTGATGTTCCTAAATATCCACAAACAAAAAATCAACAACTTGTAGCCACGCTCCCGTTATCAATTAAATCAAATCAAATCCCAATTTTGTTGCATGTTCTATTCAATAAATCCAATAATTCCTCATAATTTGTTTGCCATTTCATGATTCATGCATTTGAAAAATCTGTTGATTCATCAATCATTACGGCAAGAAATGTGCTCACGAATGACATTCGAAAAGTCACTTTCACACCTTAACCAAAAAAAAATATTTTTAATATCGAAAAATTGTTTTAATAAAATTTATTTAGCTACTCATTTGAATGTCATAGCCAGGTGGCATTTAATTGTATCTGAAAGTAGATTTGACAGCTTTGATATTTATTATAATTAATTATTTCATTATTTATTAATTTCTCACGCTTGGTGAGTACGAGTGAAGCATGTTGAGCTTGTGTTTTGCGTGCATTGGTCATTATTGGTAGTCCTTGGTGCTAAAAGATGCTAAGAAGTGAAATCAATTGACCAGTCTGAAGATTAGCTTCAAATCACTGAATTGGAATTAATTTCATCAGCCAGACACTAAATCAGGTCACGTGCCAAAATTAATAATCAATAAAAAGTTTAAGTGACCAAATAATAACCCGTCTTATTTGACTAAAGCCTGTCAAATCTGTTGAAATTCGTCACTTTCATAATTTTCGTCACTTATTCAATCCGCAAAAGTATTTTTTAATTTGACATAAATCCACATCAATTCGTGTCTGGATATTTTATTTAATTTAAAGATACCAGAAAGAAATTTGAAAGGTGCAATGGATGCCAATGACAGCAACAAATTAAGTTGCAAAAAAAAATCATTAACACTTCAACAAATTTTACGACTTAATGTTCGATCTGTTTTAATGCTATAACAAGAGAGAGGAATAACAGATCCACATCTGCAAGATTGTTGCTGAAAAATTGATTTTATTGCACTTCAGACACACAATCTCATTTTTTTGTACCCTTGTGGTAAAACAAAGCAGCTGCATCCTGTAAAACTAGGTAACATCTTAAATCTCGTTAATATTGGTACCCAACCAGCCAACCACCATCCAAATCTTTAAAAAATCCCAAATACTCAGTCGCAATCCTGACAAAATCCACCTAACATTCTATCCATTTTTTCCCATCCTCAAATCAATTGAAAAATTTAATTTTCATCTTCCTTGCATGCTTGTTAGACACTTGGTAGCATTCAATTTGTTGGTTCCATGAATAGACAGTAGAATGAGTTATAAACGAACAAGCAATAATAAGAACTGTAGAAACATGATGATGGAAAAACTCAATTTCAAGACTAGCCATTGATGCATTGTCTGCTGCTATTCAATTAGATTAATCGTTCATAATTCTCAGTTGTAGACATCGAGGCATGGTAGATGGTGGCAAGATGGGTTTTTGGCTGTAAATGGCTTGTTGTTGAAGGATACAGAATCTAAAATCAATCAGTTTATATTGATTGTTGTTAGGATTTGTTGAGGAACCTTAGCAGCTGCACAGTCAGATCTTCAAATTACCACAACCATCCATTAAAATCTCCTACATACAGCTCATAAAAAATTCCACCAAAAAGCCAATCTGCGCCTTCCACCAACAATCCTCATTTATTCAACACACCATCCAAAATACCCATATAAGCACATTATGCCTTGTTCACATCGTAAGCCTTAAAAAATAAATGAGAATCATCCTCATACAAATTTGATTTTTTTTTTTCTTCTTCGTTCCTCTTATTTGTGCAAATATACCATAAACATGCACATCAAGCCTCTTTCATGTACATTAAAATTCAATTTTATGTTGAGCATGTTGAATTTATGGAATTGGCAAAAGATTGACAAAACAACAGCGACGACGAGAGAGTACGAAAAACCTTGAAATAATTTATCAGGTTAAATGCTGTTCACATTTCTTCGCGGGGTTTTCCGCAGGCTGTTGCTGAATAAAGTTGTGGATGAGTTTGATGGTCTGTTTGTCCTTAATAAGATTTTGGAACTTTAGAAATTTGTCATTTGATGATGAGATTCAATGGAGTTGAGTTTTGTCGATATTTCCAAGTCGGGTAAGGTCTGATTTCAAACATGCTTGATCATCAGAGTTTAAGTTGCTATAGTCAGGCACAATATCTATTTGTACTTGTGTACCAATGTCGATTCCACCTCATGATGATCTCATTAGCTGTAATCTAGCTATTTCATTTGAACATCAAGTCAAGAACCACCAGTAAAGCTTTCATAACCTTAAAATACCCAAACTAAATGCACTTCAGTTCCTGAAGCACCAATAACTTTTATACACATCATTTTCCCATCTACAGCAAAAAAATGCTTCTTTAATTCTTCAGCACGAGCTATATAAATCATATTTACAATTACACGTGTAATATGCAGCATGATACGCAAGTACAGACAGAACCACTCGCTAAAACAGCAGGATGCCATCACACAGAGAGAATAAAACAGATAAATCGAACGCACTCACGATGTTATCATTAAATGTGAATTTTTCATAAAACGTGATTATGTTGGACGGAAGCTTTTTGTGTATATATATATTTACCTGCTTAAGGGTGAGACGAGCTGTGTATCTTAAATCGCCTCCTTCACGCTTGAATAATGGATGTGGCTTGTCACGAATTATGAAAACAATATCGGCAGGTATTCGTCCCTTTGTCTGATCACCTTCTTTTTGGAAGGTAACTTTCGTACCCGATTTCCATCCCGGCTTAACCGATATGCTCACATACTTATCCTCTTTTCGTGGTGTACCATCTTGCTCGAGTACACGTCGTGATATTTTCATTTTTTTCACACAACCATGATAAATTTCCTCTAGCGTCACGTACTAAACATGTGAAGAAAGAAGTGAGAAAGAAATAAAAAAAGTTAGGGATATGTGTGCTTTTAGTCAATATACAAGAATCATGACACATATAGATCGAAATCGTTATGATTTAGATTCAATATGTGTAACATGTGGCGCCTGAATTTATGATGAAAATATTGGAATGAAAAATTCATCAAAAACAGCACACGATAAGGACCGACTGCAAAATTAATAATTCAATTTGTGTTTCCATTTACCAAATCATGCTCCACCGGCGGATCCTGTATTTTCTCCTTCTTAAGTGGTGTATGAACGTTAAATGAATGTGACCTATAAAACATAATGACATAGGAGGAAATTAAGAAGGAATAAAAGCATATAAATGAGCATTTAATAATCGCAGACACGAAAACATTTTTTGGGGCCATAGTTGGTGAGCTTATTTGCCATGCGAGCGATAATTAGATTTTATTGCACCGAGAACTATCAAATTTGTGTAATTTATTTTCTCATTTTCGCATATGTTCGCGAACATTCACGTAGTTTAATTTGATTTGGGACGATTAGTCATGGATAAAAAATTTACTGAATGCAGATGGAAATGAGAATTCTAGTTGGAAATTGTTTTGTGATGATTAAACATTATTTTGGGTCAGAAGTTCCTATTTTCCAATGTTTGGTGTAAGTAAGATACATGTGAAGTAAGAGATAATATCAAAGAACCTTAGTTTCACAAGATTAAAGATCTAATTTTCAAATCTGATTCCATTTTTTCAGGCATGGCATCTAACATGAACCTATAGATAGTGCTCATATAAAACTGGCTCAATATAGCTCAACTTTGAGGTCTCAACCTCACAATACCCCATAATCAACACCAACTTACCTAAATGCTGTTCCAAGACCCGGCGACCTTCCCAATCCAAACGGAGACGAGAAGAAATCATCATCAAGCCCGCCCATAGATGAGAACAGATTGTTGTGATGATTGAATATATCATCATGCTCAAAAAATGAACTAAATGGATTGCTTGAACCGAAGAATGCTTCAAATGTTGCCCGTGGATCGCCATGAAACTCGTATGTGAAGGATGAGTTGTTGTTTGTTGTGCCATTTGATCTATCTGTATAAATGAGAAGGAGAAAAAAATAACAGCACATAATGAGAAATCATGCAACATAAGTTGACATAAGAAATGAGAGATTAATTAGATTGAGAGATAGATTGAGTTAATGTAGCATGTAAGCTTCTTGTTTTGTATCGTATGCAATTCATATGAGCTGTAGGATGAATGTGCTGAACTTTGAGAGATTGAGAATTAATTAAGATCTAATGGAATTGAGGATGTAAGAAGAAGCTTTTTTGTTTTTTGGGTTTGGGGGTCGTTCACTGAAGCTTGTCCCAAACATCAAAAATACTTATTAAGCTCTTGTATTGGAGTATGGTTAATTAAAGTTTACATTCAGTCACATATTAATAATTTAAAATTAAGAATGACAATTAAATTCTATAGAAAGCAAAGGTTCAACTCCTAACAATTATTATAACTCAAATTTATACCATCTTGTTGCATTAGCTTTTTACTTTTGGTTATTTTCTTGAATATTTTATTTTTGCATTAATCTTCAAGGATTGACTTGAACTTACTAATGTCTTAGCAATATTCAAAATCATCTCAACACTTTTCATCCCAAAATAATTTCAATTCATTTCTCAAAATTCTTAAACCTCGAATATTTATCAACAATAACAATATTGTTGTTCATCACAACACTCAATATCCATACTTACTTCCTTTCAAACCATCTTCACCATATCTGTCATAAACATCACGTTTCTTCTTATCACTCAACACTTCATATGCCTCAGCAATCTCTTTAAACTTCTCCTCAGCACCGGGCGATTTATTTTTATCAGGATGATACTTTAATGCTAATTTTCTGTATGCTTTTTTGATATCATCGTCTGTAGCACCCTTCTGTATGCCGAGAGTTTTGTAATAATCTTTCCCCATTTTCATAAACGTGCCACAATTGTGTTATGTTGCTGCTTGATTATATGATGCTCTCTCTCTCTCACTCTTCCTTGCGTCTTCCGTACACAACCCCCTTGATGAATTCTCGGATAAAAAAATTGCCTTTCTACAGGATGTGCTTGTGCGTGTATTTGTGTGAGCTATGCTATCAATATTGCTATGGTCTTTAATGATAATTTCTTAAGAAAATTCTGCCTTATTCCTTATTCTTCACAGCTGATTAACTGATTTTCTTACTGTATTTCTTACTTTATTTTTGTTTTGGTTAGTGTGTTGATGAATAGAGAGACAGTTGGAAGCCTAGAAGTAGAAAATGGGAATGAAAAATATTAAAAATGAGTTTATAAGAGGTCAGTTTGAGGGAACTAGAGCGCATTTATGTTTATTTGTCTTCAACTTTTATCAAGAGTGCTCTTAATAAGAATGTACGAAGATGTGTATGATCAAAACTCATCATTTAAATTTAAGAATTCCTTTCAATTTTGCAAATCAATGATAACCCTAGAAAATTGAAGAATTTATCATGTCAAGATAGTTTTCGATACCAATCCCTTTCCTTTCTTAAGTTGGTACCTTATCAATCGTTAAACTGAAGTTAAAGACCATAATTTTATAGGATTCGAGCCCAACATTATTAAATTTTGCTTCAAAACCCGCAGCATCATCCCTGACAACATGTCTATCCCAGACAAAATGTCAAAACGAGCGATTCAGCCATTCCATCAACATATTATTCATCCCTGCTTATGTTTTCGAAAGAAAATCTTACTAATAATAAAAATGAAATACACCATTAAATGACTATCATTTGTGCTCTTTAATAATGAAAGAAGCTTATAAACGAGGGTGGGATTACAGATCTCTATAGCGTCAAAATACGATGAAAAGATACTTTCTATTTCTATATTATTATTTTTTTCATTTTGATAAAAGTAAAGAATCCTTAAACATCTACTTTACATAATTTAATGTTCATCTCATCTTTGACATTCAACATCTTTTTAGTTAAGAAATCTTCTTTGAACGTGGTTTTGGCATGTGATGAGGCATTGATTGTGTACATTTTGTCTATTAATCATGTGATAAGCGAGGGTATGCACTTGTAATGAGTGTTGGTAATGATGATGGATGGATTGGATTTTTTTGAAAAATTATTTGATGTTGTGGGGAATTAATTTGAGTTGAAAATTTTTGATTTTGAAGGGTTTGTGGACTAATGATTTAGAATTTGGAGAGTGAATCAGGTTTGGAGGTATGTGATTCTAATCCTTAAGATTAAAAGGAGTCTCTTGCTGTTATACAAGACAATATAGACAAGACAATAATGCAGTTGATTTGGGGATAGGTTTTGTGTGCTACGACCAAACTTAAGACCACATTCGGTAAGTTTTGAATTTTTATGCTCAAAACCCCTTTAAAAATACTTAACCTCAAAATCATAACCAAAGTATAACCTCAAAAAATGCGTCATAACCCCAAAAAATCTCAACCAGCACCAAAAATTTCCATAAACTTCTTCATCTTCACATTAAGCAAAAGAGATTAGAAATCTTGATATTTCTCATTTCATCTTCTTTTTGCCTTCTATTTCAATGAATATTCAAGATTGCTACTTTTTCCCTTTTTTCACGAAAAATATTCCATTAAAATGTAATCCTTGCTTTTATTTCACTTCTATTTTTCGTTTCATCATTCAATCCTCCCCCTTTTACATCTTTAAGATCCAAGAACAGACTCTTTTTTGGCAAAAGACTTGACGAGGATGACGAGTCGACAGAATCATAATCATAAACATGATTTCGCGGGACACAAAATCCCTCCGATTTATAATACACAACAATATTTATACTTTTTAATGTGAAGCGCCGATGGAATAAAAATGAAAAATTTATGTCGAGATAAAAACGTTTAACAAACATTAAAATTATTTTTTTTCGTGCTTATTACATGCCGCTAAACAATACTGGATGGGAGTTGAAAGTAATTTAAGAGGAATAAAGCGCATTTTTGGGGTTGATATCCTTAAAATTAGCATTAAGTACGGGCAAAGTTTGACATTAGATAGAAGAGAGTCTCTGGATGACTAAGTTGGATTAGAGCATAGTCTTAACTATGATTCAGTTAAGCAAGCCCCAATCTAAAGCTTTGATCAATAAAAGACAACAATCCAAACTTAACATCCCCACAGCTAACCCCACAAAAAAGCTACATCTAAAATACGAAAGCAGTGATGACGAAAAACGAAGCAGAATAAAAAGCATTTTGTAGATGGAGAAATGACGAAAGAAAAACGACACTGGCAGTTCTCGTTCATTCTCTTCCATTCTTCTAATCTTGACATTTAATTTTTAATGATCTGCTAAAAAGCCTGTAAGGTCTGCGATATGAAAAATGCTCTCATTTTAAATATATCTTTTTTCGGGTGAAAATTAGAAAACAAAAAGTAAAAAGTTGTCATATCCATGATTCTCTGCTGTCGTCTTCTTGGTGAATAATCTATGTGTTTATGAACGGAGTGATGGGGACTTTGGATTAATGTTTTTTGTGGAGTTTGGAGTTAAAGGGTTGTGGATTAAGCATTATTAAGGTCATTAAGTTAGTTTACAGCTGCTTAACCAACCTGAAGCTAGCAGCTCGCAGTAGAGCTCCACATTGACTCAAGTTTCCAAAACTTTTGACAATATAATACCACTGGATCTTTATATCATGAAAAATAATTCAAACTGTCAAAAGACTCGAACTAAATCTCAATTTCTGGACATTCCAAACTTCCAAAGTCCTCACCCCAACTATAAAGAAACTTTTCAACTCATGGATGGCTAGAAACACATATTAATCAAATAATACTTGCTCCTTTATCCCTATTGCGTTCCATATCCATCGGACGCAGATATAGCTGCCATAGAAATATTATTTTGAAGGCATAAAACTTCAAAACTCCCCAGGAGGGAATCGAAAAAGCGCCATGACTGTCTTATTCTGCCTTCTCATTCCTCTTGCTTTTTAAAAGATTACGTCACATTTGATTAATCGCAAAAAATCTTTCGCAAGCACATAAAGGAGAATAAATATATTTTTTGGTATATCCGCAAGGTATAAACTTTTATGTGTACATATACTTTGTTTGAGGGAAACTTTTTTTTTCTCCTCTACCTCAACTTGTCCCATCTGGATATTAATAAATTTAATGTATCACCTGACAAGCTTTTTCTTCTCCACATCTACGTCCTATCTGTCGTCTTTTTGTGTCTTTTTTTTTTCGGTAAGAAATTTTCATTTTCCATTTTTTAGCTGAATTTTAATGGAGTTGGTGTGGTTCGACTGCATTTTGTTGTTTTTGTAAGTTAGGGAAGTAGACAGGTTATTCTTAGGCGGGATTTTTTTAAAGATTTTTGAAACGGGTCGTTCACTTACGACGTCCGGAATTAACGGTCATTTTTCAAAAAAAAACAATGGATTTCCAGGAATTTTTATTGTTTTTTTCTTGCTTACACCCCACCCCCTAGACATCAAAAGTGAACGGCCCCAAATTTTACGTGTCTATTGGATATAATTTTAAATTGCATAAAACAATGAAAAAATAGAATTTAATTTGGAAATGTTGTAATTGTCAAACTGTTGGGATTTGAACCCTTTAAACTTTTTCACAAGAAAACCAAAAACCTTGAGCATTGTACCCATCTGTCTCAAATTACTAGTAACTCTAGTCGAGGCTTAGAGTGCCTATACTCAAAGAAATGCGCTTCTATCATCTTCTATCGAATCAACACTTCACTTCCCATCACTTCTATCTTATATATAATTTTATGAGAGCGCCAACGACACACAAACTACGATGCTAAAAGAGATAATCGCTTCTCATTCCCCCCTAAAAGTCACACAATATTTTTCATCTTATTTTTCGAGAATATTTTTTCATTAAAATTTACGTCACATTCATTAACGTAAATAGCGAAGCTTTCACGGATGCCAAACACACACAAAATAATTTCACTTGTCGGATGTGTCGTTTATCTAAAAGGGAAATGAATCGCTTTATCTCAAAAAATATAGAGGTAGTAATGTTATGCTTAAACATGAAAATGAATAGTTTTTAACCTTCTTAAATACTTAATGAAAAATCCTCACCCCATCCAACTTTGATGTGTGTTTAAAATTTATTCAGGAGTGTTGATTAGTAAATTTTATGACAACGAGAGAGAATTTAATTGAGTAGAAAATTGAGTAAATGAAGGAACTAAACTTTTTGACTTTGATGCACTTCCATTACCGATGAGACGTAGACTAGATAGGATATTCTGAATTCTAACTTGTGTTTCTAATCGCTGAGGAATAAACGAAGTTTTTTACATACACAAGTATGCATAAGGTACGAAAAAAATCGAAATTGTAATGAGGAGGATGGGAAATATGACATGGAATAATAATGTGTACATAAAATTGAGGAGGATGTGTCACAAGGTGGAAATTAAAGGTCGTAATTGTCATTTTGTTATAATTATAATTATCATTATTATTCATTAAGGACGAATTTATTTGATGATTCTAATTAAAAAGTGAGAAATAAGCATTGTCTGGATCTTATATGGAAGTTTAAGATGTAAATTTATAAAATTGAAGTGAAATTAGAATCTTCCTTAGGGATATACTCATTTAAATTTTAAATAAAAGGTTGTCATTAAATTAACTCACTCATCTTGTCATGAAAGAGTCAATTAGCAAAAAATCAATATTTTTTTCATGTCGCAGACAAGAAAAGTACGATTTAAAGTCTCATTTGGACTAAAATTGATATGAAAGTTTTATGAATCATATGAAGCTCAGCCAGAAAAAAGGGATCTCAAACTCAAATTTATTTCAAAACTACACCATCGCCCATGACCCATCCACACAATCCAAGAACATCAACAAAAGTCATAAAATAATTTACAACTATGTTTATTTCACCTTCTAGTTCCATCCAACTTCCTCTCGAGTCGTAAACTTATTCAATTTATTGAACTAGATTTAAAGAAGTATTATTTCCATTCCCTATGAGAGAAGGTCATGAATATATCGAGTGTGAATAAAATGAGAAAGGTTGAATTGAGCACTTTACGTGCAAGTAATATCATCACATTTATGATGATTTTGATGATGAAATAAGCTTATTAAAAATACATTCTTGATGTGGTTAAGTGTTTTTAACGAACTATTCTAGGAAGATTACAAAAAAGACCTTCTGTCATAGATGAAAATACATAAGATTGACATTAGTGGACCTAGTGATAGAGAGTTGCATTATATGGCAGAGAATAATA